ACATACTAATTTTGTTTAGTGATAATAAATTTTAAGAGTCATGACGGAGAGCTTGGGATTAAACCGATGATTTTCTGCTCAGTAAGCAAAAACGATCCCTCCAGGGTCATCGAGCATCTCAGAACCATAACGCTTCGCGACAATACAGGGCTACGTTTTCGCTTGATATGCAAATAGTTTCCGAGGTTAATGTTCAATATCAAATATACAAATGATGGTGGCGATTTATTGTGCTGTGGAAGAGCTTGGGGTTAAATCCATGATTTTCTGCTCAGTAAGCAAAATCGATCCCTCGAGGGTCATCGAGCATCTTATAATCCACAGCGCTTCGCGTCAAAGTTCGAATATATGGATAAAATATCTATTATTGAATAACTATTATTTACGATAATTACATGAAATAAATAAAATATAAACTACAAACAAAACGTGACTGCTAAAATCTCAAAAAGATATTCTCACAAATATATTTCACGCCACCAGGAATCTCAAAACCATTAGACGTTATAATGATAATCTGCACATGTTAGACACAAGAAGAGGCCAAAAAGCTAGCGTCCGACACACAAAACCCGTCAAATCCACTTGCAGTCACAATCAACGATTCTACGAATCGCGAGCGCTCACGAATCATAAAACCGCTGACTGCGACACACTGAAAGTGAAATTGACAGGCCCTATGCGTCAAACACCTGCCCTCCAATCTCCTCCCGCATCCAACAACACAAATCTCCATTACAACATCTAGCGAATTCAAAACTCCGAAAATCACTCATCTATAGCAAGTGAGTGGAAGCAACCCTGCATGCAACCATTCTTCATGATACACTTTTTCTGCCTATCTTTCTATTAGGCCTGTGGACATGCGTTAGCTTCGAAACTTCTAACCAAACTGGGTAAATTTTCAGATCACAAAAAAAAACTTGAAAAAAAAACTTTCAAAGGTAATTACAAGTAAAATAAATATTGATAATTTTACGCAAAAACGAGCAAGTAATATTAAATCTTTTGCTAATTGACTGTAACAAAAATAATATGCTTAAATAAAATAAAATATTAATAAAATGATATGCAAAATTTACTAGAAGATCATTACTTTATTGGTGAGAAGTTTTTAATAAGCCCTCCCAGTTCCTCTGTATACAGAACAAATCTGACACTATAATCAGAATTGCTCAGTCTGCATGAAGCAGCCGATTTCATCAAGGAAGTTCTATTAACAACCAAGAATTAATCGTTTGAGGCATACTGAAGCATTCCGAAGCACAAGTACCGTCAACCTCCATGTCCATGGGGAGGGACGAGACGTCAAAATCACCATAGGCGACATGAACGCTCAGGTAGAACGAGAGGCAATGTATAGACCGGCAATCGGGCCAAACAGCCTGCATGCCGTATCGAACGACAACGGCCAACGATGCGTGAACTTTGCAGCCTATCGGGGTATGGTAGTTCGAAGTACCTTTTCCCCCCGCAAGGATATCTACAAAGCCGCCTGGAGATCACCTGACAAACACTTCTTCTTCTTCTTCTTACTCGCATTTCAAGCTTATTGCTTCAAGAAGTTGAGGAGGACATAGGTCGGCTGAAGAACAACAAAGCAACTGGTATAGATCAACTACCAAGTGAGCTATTAAAATTCGGTGGTGAAGCACTGGCTAAAGCACTGCAATGGGTAATTGGCAAGATTTGGGAGGAGGAGATATTACCGGAGGAGTGGATGGAAGGTGTCTACAAAAAGGGCGACAAGTTGGATTGCTGCAACTACCGCGTGATCACACTGCTGAGCGTCACCTACAAGGTACTCTCCCAAATTCTATGCCGCCGCCTGTCACCATTGGCAAAAGAGTTCGTGGGGCAATACCAGGCGGGATTCATGGGTGCCCGCGCTACCACGGACCAAATTTTCGCGTGCCCACACATCATTTGTTCATCGATTTCAAATCCGCATACGACACAATCGATCGAGATCAGCTAAATGGCAGATTATGCACGAGTACGGATTTCCTAATAAACTGACGCGATTGGTCAAGGCGACGATGGATCGAGTGATGTGCGTTGTTCGAGTATCGAGGACACTCTCGAGTCCCATTGAATCTCGAAGGGGGTTACGGCAAGGTGATGGACTTTCGTGTCTGCTGTTCAACATCGCGTTAGAAAGTGTGATCAAAGCTGGATAGACACGAGTGTCACGATATTCAGGAAGTCCATCCAGCTCCTTGGCTTCGCCGATGACACTGACATTATGGCGCGGAACTTTGAGATGATGGCGGAAACGTACATCTGACTGAAGGCTGACGCTAGGCGGTTTGGACTTGCCATCAACGCATCAAATACAAAATACATGAAAGGAAGAGGTTCTAGGGAAGACAATGTTAGCCTCCCACCCCGAGTTCAGATTGACGGTTACAAAATCGAGGTGATCGATGAGTTCGTGTATTTGGGCCCACCGAAATTCAAAGACGCATTATGGTAGGGAATCGTGCCTACTTTGGACTCTGGAATTTGCCGCCGCACGAAGTTGACTGTCTACAAGACGCTGATTAGTCCGGTGGTCCTCTACGGCCACGAGACCTGGACTATGCTCGTGGAGGACCAACGCGCCCTTGGTGTTTTCGAACGGAAGGTGTTGCGTACCACCTACGGTGGACTGCAGATGGATGACGGAACGTGGAGGAGGCGAATGAACCACGAATTGCACCAGCTTCTGGGAGAACCATCCATCGCCCACATTGCAAAAATTGGGTGACTACGGTGGGCTGGACACGTCGTAAGAATGCCACACGACGACCCAGTGAAAATGGTTTTAGAAAGCGACCCAACAGGAACAAGAATAAGAAGAAGCGCGCAGCGGGCAAGGTGGATCGACCAAGAAGAAGGTGACCTGCGGACCCTTCGCAGACTACGAGGCTGGCGAACTATGGCGATGGATCGAGTACAGTGGAGACGACTTCTTCGGACAGCAGAGGACAACAAGGCCTTAGCCTGATAGGTGAGGTAAGCATACATGTTTTGACCGCACTATCCACTGTTAACAATTATCGGGACTAATTGTAATCATAATTTCCGATAAATTCACCATTAAGGGGTTACGCCTACCTGCAAGACCGAAAAAAAGCGAAAGTTTGGATTTTTTTCTCGAAAACGACGCAACTTCCCCTATTGAAAATCAGTTTTCTGCCGTTTATTGAACACACATTAAATGGTACATTTATCAGTCGATGCTGTAAAAACGAGGTCCTGGTGCCCCGCACGGCTGCTCCCCGTGGACGATGTTCTAAAAAACGCTTTTTGCGGTGCCAACTGCGGTTTGTGATGTAATCATCTGAAATAAAAAAAAACCATGCCAAATCGTTAAGCATGTGTTAAACTAGTCCTTGATCGTTCGGTTTTTTTTTAATTGTTTTGACAAAATGGCGGCCTTGCAAAGTTGAAGTGCCGATTTTTGATCCTTGAAATTTGTCTTTGATCGGCTATAAAAAATCGAAATTAAATGATAGACGAAATCCGAACGATCGTGGACTGCACAAAATAGTACTGAACAGAACGGACGAATCGAATGTATACATTTCGAGAAATTTTTGGCACCGGTTTTGAAAATATGATTCCGAGATAATCGCGTTTGAAGTTTCAAGTTTTCATCGGATTAACTTGATCGTTTGAGGAAATATTATTGACTTTATACACTTTCGATTAGGACAATAAAAAAAATCGATTTTTTTAAAGTTTGCAGGTAGGCGTAACCCCTTAAGAACAGTAGTGACATCTGTAGGGAAATTAACGCAGAAGCATGGTAACATGATCAACTTATAAAACTTAATACTAAAACATGAATGTCTGACAAATTTTACAATACACCGTATATCTCTGTTGTTTCTGTCATATGACTTCAGAAACTTTTCATAAAATAATATGTTGGCAATACACTCAGGTATTTTTTTACACGGGGGGATACGGACCGTGTAAAAAAACCGTGTTAAAAAACCTACGAGATTTTGATTTTTCGTATGCTTAAATGTTTTTAAAAAATCGGATTTTGATGCCATTTGTAATTAAAGCATGATATGGTCCATATAGACATATTTTAAAAATTTCTTTATTTACACCAAAAATTGTGATTTTATTTTAAGTATGCCATTCGATTACCTATAGCTTGAAACGGATAATGTGATTGGAATCAAGTCGATAGGTTGTATCGTTGTCGAGAAATCGTTAAAAACGTACCGTGTAAATCGTGGAAAACCGTGTAAAAAAAATTCGCGTAAAAAAAACCGTGTAAAAAGACTTCAGTGTACACTACAAAAAAGTCGTGTACACTTCGGTTCCCTGAGACCGACACATGTAAGCGGCCCTTTTGACATAAGAGTCAGTTAAAAGAAACTAGGAAATCTATTCAATCAAACGTTTTCTTCATCGAGCTGCTTATGTTTCGGTTTGAGAACACTTAATTTTACATTAAATGTTTATTAAATGATCCAATATGGATTACGTCTCGTGTGAAAGTAGTTATTTCAAAGTGTGCAACCCGAAGGTGGGGATTGCATCAGTATGGTTTTATTTTTGTTGAAAAAATTGCACTTTAATTTCAATGTCAATATTCTTCGGTACACGGGACAATACTATTGACATTATTTGACGACTTAATTCTCGAAATAGAAATCGAATACAAAATACATGAAGAAAAGAGATCTACTGCTGCCATGATTACCTGAGATTTGACAAAAAAATGTAAATATTTTTGCTCCGTGAATCGAAGAATTCCACTTGAATCTTTGCCTACCTGCCAACGAAACGTATGGAAACACCTCAATATTTTTTTTTTGTGAAGCCACAAAATTTACATTTCTATTTTCAGGCTGATCCTTTCGGTGAAAACATAATACCTTCCACAAACACCGCACTCGGTCGAACGCGCGCCCATCGACGTCTCTCGTTGGGCTTTTCGAAGTTTCCTCATGTGTGACAGTATTTTTTTTTCCTCCTCTCCCCCCACATTCCAGATAATCCTCAGCCCCAGGTTGGCAGCGTGCAAGCAGAAGTAAAAGCCCCCGCAGCGGTACGAATAGGCGTAGGTGTCAGCCAGCCAGCTGATCGCTCGATGAAAGCAACCTTCGACGACAACGGCGAAGCGAATCAGAGAATAAAAGGAAAAACCAATAATCCCTAATCCAGCATCTATCAATTTTGTTCAAATAATACGATTCGTATTTCCTCCGTTCTGACAATCGGATTAAGATTTTTCTTCCCGGCTGACTGCTGACTAACCACGGTACGGACACATAACGCAAGAGAAGAAGATGGGAACGGTAGTGTGCCTTCCGGCTGGACCGGAACTGGTATCTCAGTGCAACCGTTGTGCTACCTGTTTGCCGAAGCCGTTCTTCGGAAAGCGAGGTGAGTTACGTTTTGTTTTGATTTTGCTTTATGCTCAACTTGCTCTCCCTCCCACGTACCCATGTGAGTGTGTGCGTTTGTGAAGGCCTTCTATGCTCTTCTCCAGCATTTCACAAAATGATGTTGCACTCGGTGATTATTCTCACGACGAGAGCAGGGAGTTTATGTGAGAAGAGAGCAACTGAAAGCGGAAAGCTTGCCACTTATGCTTCGACTATTGCCTTCCAGGTGTCTCTGCGCTAAGTTCAGCGGTACCATCTAGCGACAGTGTGTACAAGCTGGCTGTAAGTTTTGTATACGAGTGTCATTTGATGTCTTGGTGTGTATGGTTGTTGTACATATTGCTTGGTGTGTGATGTTTCTCTCATGTCTTACTTAATTCTGTCCTTCTCACATCATCAATCTAAACTAGAGGAACATTAATTGAGTGAATTTATATGGAAATTTCTTACTCTTAACCTATTTGATGTTGTCAGTCGTATCGCACAATCTTTCACGTTAAGCATTTAGATGAATAATCTATATCTTCTCTACATTGCGTACTTAGCGTTGTAAAAAATGGTGTAATGATGGATGATTAATTCTAGAATACTCAATTACAGGTAAACCTCGATATAATGTAACTGTCACTTTTGACTTCCATCGTCAATATCTCACTAATAACAATTGAATCATACAAAATAATATTACCAATAGATGTTTGATTATCTCATCTGTCCGATGGTGCTATTAATTTGCTTGTTTGAATGATCGTTTACGAAAAATCAGCGATGGATGTCAAAAGTTACAGTTACGTTATATCGAGGTATACCTGTATTTGGATGAATATATAATTTCCATGATAACTAAGAATTTTTCTTATTTTTAACAATGGTTTGTTACACATAAACTTTCTCCTATATCTGAATTGTTGTGACATACATCTAGGAGTATTAGAGTGTTCTGCTCTTTGAAAGTTTTTTATTTTTTTCATAAAAGTCATATCTAAATTTATAAAAAAATAACCATAGTTCCAGGGCTGGTAGCGAATCACTTTTTTTATGCCAGTCACTAAACATTTTCTTTTTTTTTAAGGCCTAGTAACTAAAGTTACTTTTTCTTGTAATCAGTAAATAATTAAAAAAAATTAGCGTAGATTTTTTTTTAAGATTGATCATTCTTTGCTTTGTGACGTTTAGTCGTCTTTCTCTATTGACAGGGTGTCTACTCATCTTTCTAAATAAAATTACCTGAGTTTTCCGGAACTTTAACGGATAAATTCTAGGCTTACAATAAGAAAGCTATTTTTTCAATGCGTCAAAAAATATTCTTTTTGTAGATCAAAACAATAATAATTTACCAAGACATGGCCAGGCATGGAAAATCATTTGCATTCATTTCGTGCATTCATTTACATTCATTTGCTCCTCACTTTTTTTATCAACAGAATTCCGCAAAATGATGTATCGAGCTTTTGTAGGTTTTATTATTTGCTAAAAATTCAAACCCGTATCTCTTATGCATGACGAACCAGAGCAAATAGAATCCACTTCTGTTTTTCAGTGAATGTATTTTACATTCACTGAAAAACAGTAACGAGTTCTGCCCGCTCTAATTCGTGATGCATAAGAGATTCATATTTGAGTTACTGCCAAAAGTTGTAGCTAATAACAAAACCTACAAAAGCTCGATACATCATTTTGCGGAATTCTGTTGATGAAAAAAGTTAGGGGCAAATGAATGTAAATGAATGCATGAAATGAATGTAAATGATTTTCCATGCCTGGACATGGCAATCAGTTTAAAAAAAAACAGCTTTACAATCAAATCCGTTGAATGCTGAACCTTGATTGCTACTTAATTTTTCACTTTATAAAGTTAAAAAAAAAAACTTACTTAATTTGAATAAGTCCAAGATCTAAAATTATACAATATTTTGAAGTTTCGCATTCCATGTAACGGGTGGCAACTAAAATTTTGGAATTTTTTCGAGGCCTCTATGCTCAACAACAAACGAGCTCAGAGAGAAATAAGAGTGTGTATGTGTTAGCTCTCTCTCTCTCCTCTTTCTGCTAGTATTTTCTGTTTTGTTTATGCTTGCTCAGTTTTGCTCAAAATACCGTCGAAACAAAAGGTATTTCGCGAGCGCGTTGTACAGTTCTACGAACTGCACAGAAATCTCGGCAAAAAGTATACGGTACAACATTTTAAAAGCGAAAATGTTGCGGCTTCGACTGTTTACCATATCCTAAGTAACAGAGTTATGGAATGGCCACAGGAGAAAATAACACGAGAAACGGTTTAGAAAAACTCACTGAAAAAGAAACGTGTTTATTGCTTTTAGGTTTACAGGTTGGATTGAATGAAATTGGTTTGACAGCTCAGATGGAGCTCACTGCACAGTGGTGCCAATAAAAGGGAGGACAGTAGGTAGCAGTGTTGTACACTTAACACCCTCCTTCAACCATTGCTACCGATCAAGCCGATGCCGATACGATGACGCCGGAAAGCACCAACTGGCAGACCCTTCGTCATAATGTCCGCTGTTTGGTCCTCAGAGCGGAGATATTCAAGACGAATCCGCCCTTCTCGCACAAGGTCCTTCAGGAACTGAAGCTTCACATCCACGTGCTTTAAGCGCCCGAAATCCTTCGAACTCTCCGAAATTCTTATAGTAGACTGATTGTCCTCGAAAAAGGTAGTTGGTTCATCCGAGTCCAAACCGAGATCCTTCAAAAGACGAATCAGCCACATCTGATGACATGCCGCGTTACACAGAGCATTCAGCTCCGCTTCGGTGGACGAAAGCGACACCGTCTTCTGCTTCCGAGTGATCCATCCAATAGTGCACCCTAGCACCTTGAAGAGACAGCCGCTGATTGATCTGCGATCCGATGTATCATTCGCCCAATCCGCATCTGAATACACTTCGAGAACCGCTGCCGCTTCATCTGCTTTGTACACTAGACACAAGTCAAGAGTGCCCTTGATGTACCGAAGTATCCGCTTCAGGTGTACCCAATGGGCATCATTTGGGCAGCTCTGGTACTGGCTAAAGTAGTTGATAGCTGCCGCCAGATCAGGTCTAGTTGTCAACGACGCGTAGGTAAGGCAACCCACTAGCTCCCTGTACGGTTGCGTCGTTCGCTTTTCTTCGGTCCCCTTCTCCAACTTGAGTCGCACTTCTAGTGGAGTGGAGACAGGCTTGCATTCGTCCATGCCAAACCTACGGAGCAGATCTTCCAGAAAACGCCTCTGACTGATCTTCAGAACTTTTCCTTCAACGTCGCGATCGATGCACATTCCGAGGAAACAGCGGATCTCACCGCCGTCGGTCATCTGGAACTCCGATGCTAGACAGCGCTTCACGGCTTCAACAGCTCGCAGAGTCGGTCCAGCAAGGACCACATCGTCAACGTAAATCACAAGAATCACCGTCTCCTTGCCGATCTGCTTCAAGTACAAACACTGGTCGTTCGCACTCCTGGTAAACCCCAGCCGTTCCACTATGAAGCCATGGAACCGGTCGTTCCATGCTTTCGAGGCTTGCTTAAGGCCGTACAGCGACTTGTACAGCCGACACACCAGACCGTCACCATGTTCGAAACCCTCAGGCTGCACCATATATATCTCCTCGTTGAGCTTCCCATTCAGGAAAGCCGTAGCCACGTCCATCTGGTGGACTACCATGTTCTTTTGGTTCGCCAGAGCAAGCACCGTCCGCAGTGTGTCGAGCTTGGCGACGGGCGAGTAAGTTTCCGTGTAGTCGAATCCGAATTTTTGGCTGAAACCCCTCGCCACAAGCCGAGCTTTATAGCGATCGGGTTCACCGTTCAGTCCACGCTTAATCCGGAACACCCACTTGTTTGTCACAGCCGAGCGTCCCGGCGGCAACTTCTCCAAGTGCCAGGTTTTATTCTTCGACAGGGAGTCCATTTCGTCTCTCATGGCAGCTTCCCACTTACTCCAATCGTCCCGCTTCCTAGCCTCAGCAACAGTCGTTGGCAGGTTCTCCACGTAGTTCATTGCGTTGAGGGCGTACCCAGCGTATTCGACCTCAAAGTCGTCGTGCCACGCCGGAGCAGTTCGGTGTCGTTGCGGTCTTCCTTCCGTATTGCCACCAGTTGGCGCTTGGGCCTGTGCCCCCGCCACCGGTTCAGCCGCTGGTTCACTCGCATCTTCTTCTTCCTCGAAGCTTCCGAACTCGTCATCCGAATCGTCAGATGACTCGTCATCCGAATCAGAATCGTCAGACACCGGATCTTCGATCTCCTCCTCGTCATCACTGTCTTCCGGATCATAACGGATCCCCGGAATCTTGACGAAGCCACTGGCACTCGGTTTTCTTCCGTCCGACTCGATCATACCGCCTTCGATACAATCCACGTCGCGCGCGTGAACTATCTTCTTCGTTCTGGGATCCCACACACGGTAGCCATTGTGCGTGTACCCCACGAAGGTCCCCTTCCACGCCTTTGCGTCCAGCTTCTTACGATGCTCCTTCGGTATGTGCACGAACATAGGGCAACCGAACACTCGCAGCTTGCTGACGTTCGGCTTCCGGCCTTCCCAGAGCTCGAACGGTGTCACGTTGGAATCCAGCGCACTCGAAGGACTGCGATTGACTAGGTAAGCCGCTGTCTGGATAGTAAGCCCCCAGAACCGCTTGTCTATCTGGGAATCTTCCAGCATAGACCTCGCCTTCTCGACCAGGGTGCGGTTCATCCGCTCACTCACCCCGTTCTGCTCCGGAGTGTGAGGAACCGTCCACTCAACCTGGATGCCCTTTCCTTTGCAGAACCGATCGAACTCTTTGCTTCTATATTCTCCGCCGTTATCGCAGCGAAGGCGGCACACTCGCTGATCGAACTTCGCGGTCACGTATGCCTCGTACTGCCGAAAACACTCGAAAACTTCGTCCTTCGTCGCGATTAGGAATGTCATCGTAAAATGCGACCAGTCATCAATAAAGGTGACGAAATATCTCACCTCGTCAAGGCCAACCGGCGTCACTGGCCCGCACACGTCGGAGTGTATCAACTCCAGCACTCGCGACGACCGTTTCGTATCGCGCACAACGAACGGCTTTCGGGTCTGCTTCCCGGTTACGCACGGTTCGCACACGACGATTTGCTTGTCCGCACAACCGCTGGTCGGTTTCAGTCCGACGACCATTTCTTCCTTTTTCGCCGCCGTGTCGTTCACCAGTTCTTGCAGCTCCGGTATTTCCGCGGCTTCCGTCTCCACACATTCGAACAGGTCGTGCTCTTCCAGCAGCACCTGCGTGCGGAACTTCCAGGCCATG